ACATTACTACGCATGAATCACAAACGCACTCTCACGTTTCACGTGGTACAAACTGCACCACCGTTCAAAGGAAACCCAAACATGAAAATGAAATCAATATGAGACACCGAGAAATTTAATTTTCAAAAATTAAAATGAAATCAAAAAATTCATTCTCGTGCTAATAGTAAAGTTGGAGCGGTCGTGCATAGCACGTTATTTTCGGGAATTATCTTCGTTCCTAAGTTTTAGCTTCCAGATATTATAATCGAAACATGTGTTGATAGGTTAGATTGTTCTAGAAAAAGATTATTTTGTAGAGTATTTCAAGAATCAATCGCCGCATACAAACTACAACTCATGTACTCGATGGTTCTCAGCAAAGTAAGAATGCCTTCTTTCGTACACTTATGAAACGTATGAGTTTCATAACCTTGTAATTTCGTGCTTGTCGTTGTCTGTAAAAAATGTTTGAATAATGTTAAACATATTCGGTAATCTTATAATGAGTTTCTTCTATATCTGAGTTCACGTCTCGTCAGTAAGAAAATCATAGAGCAGGATACATCTTTTTCCAACAAACTGTGTGTCAGTTGAATCCATTTCCATTATTCTGATTGAAGATTGTTTGGAGGAAATATGACAAAAAACTGAATGCTTTCATTAATGGATATGTCATAAACCAATTTCAGAAATCAGATGAACAAGCGATCTCCTGGCACGTAACGTTGCAACAGCTTTCGAGGCGCCGATGTTGATTGATAACCATTTTGAAATGAGTTGGTAAATCCGATAGAGGTTATCATTGAAAATATTAGTTAAGTATATGTAATAAAATAACCTGATTGAATATGATTTAGAGGATGTAAAGCTGTGTAAAGTGTTTAATATTTCTAATAAAGAATACTGAAAAGAAAAAATTCTAGAATAACCAGATTTTGGACAGCTTACAAAGAAAGAACAAATGAACTTCTTTCAAATAGAAGGGCCAATATACACGTGGAATTATCCTAAAATAAGATATTTAATATTGAAATGGGTCATGTTTGCTCTTACATAAACTATAAAAGGAAGAAGCTTTCTTCTGAAGCTGTTTTTAACTATATTAAACCTGTTTTCTTAGATTCTTTCAATTGTTCTTCGTGGCTGTTTGTAGCTGCTATCGAACAGATAAAATGTAAATTCGCAAGCTTCTATGCTTACATGATTTCTCTTTATTATTGCATTCCCGATCAAAACCAGAGGTGACAAGGTCAAGTCAGTCATATTCCACTTAATATTCTCCTCCCTTTCTCGTTCTTCTTGATTACATCGCCCTTTAGGAAATAATATTATATCTTTGCCATTAATCTAATAATACTAAATGGTGTGCTTTTTTGGCTGACAGATCTAGCTTTTCACATGACATGCCATTGCTCTGCCATCTTTTGTGAAGCAAAGTTAGTGTGTTGTCTCAGGGCAAACTTGTTTATTTCTTGGATCTCGAGACTTCATCTAAGTACTCTTTCTTTCCTTCACCTTTTCTGCAGTGAAACCTCTATAACAAGTGCTTTTTACTATATAAAAACATAAATGCCTCATATGTCTTTCCTTTTGTAGAAATGATGTTCAAACTTCTGCTTTTTCTTTTCTTCCATCCAATCCTATCTGTCAAGATCATTGATAATGGATTAGCTCCACCAGAGATAGTTCATTCACCCGTAGCTCTCAAGCGTAAGTTGCCTATTCTGTTCTCTGGTAACAACTCAGTTTTCAGCTAGATGTGTGATAAAAGCTCCCCCTCTGGATCTTATTTTTATTTTGGACAGTTCTGGTTCGCTTCGAGATAAGTTCCAGGTTAGTTAATGGTATGGAAGATTCTGACTAACTTGAAATCAGGATGAAATCGATATTATTCGTCGCATAGTTAACCATGTAACGATTGGTGACACTGCAACACGAGTGATGCTTGTCCAATTCAGGTAACTCATGCCAATGAATAAAATCTAGATCTCCATTACTTTCAGTGGAACTCAACATCTAGAATTCGATTTCCACAAGTTCACTTCGCGTGAAGAAATCCTTGAAGCTCTGAAAGTTCTCAGACACGTGTCTGGAATTACAAGAATAGGGGGAGCCTTTGAGTTCACTCTGGAAAAAATGATCAATTCCAACACGGTACTGTTCACTTACTTTTCAATCACACACAATTACAGGGAGTACGTGATGCCAGTGTTCCAAAAATCCTTTATCTACTTTCTGACGGAAGAACACATGATTTTCCAAAAGATTGGGAACAAGCGGAACTTGTACGAAGGTCTATAGAATCTTTATGTCTCAGATGAAACTCAAAATTATAGAAAAATACCAAATATTGATATCTGGGCATATGGAACTGGAGAATATGTGGCCATGACAGCTTTGTTGAACTACACTCAAGTGCGTTCCTCCATTCTCTAAATTATATAAGAATTTTAAGGATGTAAGTAAAATTGTAACTAACAAAAACCTTCATCAATTGGAACCTCAATTCAATCGATTCCACGGAACAGAAATATGTGAAAAGATTCCGAGTATGTTTTCCACGTAACAGATGAAGTGACTTATCATTTTAAGCTTGTATAAAAGGCTCGGACAAGCCTCTTGATATGGTTTTATTGGTTGATGCTTCCGAGTCCTTAGACCATCTTTTCCGAGATCAAATAAAATTCGCTATTGAGCGCGTGGTTGCCAACATTAACGTTCATCCAGATGCAGTAAGGTGAGTCAATATAAAACATCTCTTTGAGAGGGAATTGTTAATCTTCAGATTGGCTCTCATTACATATTCTGGCAATTTCTTCAATCATTTCGGTTTTAATGATTTCCATTTCGGTAACAATTCGGCCGTGGTTGAACATCTAAAAACACTGAGATCGATAAAGGTGAATGTGTAACTCAATTATTACATGCAAATCGGAAACTCATTTATAGGGTACAACAAGCACGCACATAGCTCTAAAAGAAGCTATGAATCAACTTCTGAACGAAGATGTGAATTCCGGGACAAGGAATGGAGTACCAAAGTTGGTTTTGGTGTTAACAGATGGTCATTCCGCTCGATCCCCATTAGCACAGGCTACTTTACTTCGCGAGAAAGGTTTTATGAGGCTTGAAATTTGAAAAGATTCTTAACCGCTTTTCCTAGGAATAATAATTCTGGCCGTTAGTGTTACACCTCGTCCATTAGTTGATGAAGCAGAACTTCTCATGATAGCTGGTGACCCTAGCCGAGTTTTCACACCCAGAAACCTTCAAGTAACACCAACAAAACATTTCCGTTCATGTAAAGTTTACAGGACTTTGAAAATGAGTTCATGAAGTATGTTGGCTTTGGTTGTGAGGGAATAACGCTGGATTCAAACGCGAGTAAGAAATTTCCAATAGAACTTGCAGCCAAAACTTTTGTAGAACCCCAGATTAGAGGAGCAACAGACGTAACTTGCAATGCTAACTCTGTAACATTTACGGTGAGAACACAACGACCAATGCAAGGTTTGATGTATGCTCAACACTACCATGATGATGAGAACTGTGTTTTGGTACTATCTCTCACTTGAAAAAATAGTTTAAAGAGAATGTTAAAGATAACTCGTGGAGATACTAGAGAAGTGTCAATTACTCTACGCGAAGGAACCTGTGGAGTCACAAAAACTCCAACTATAGTAAGTTACTTGAAAATATAATTGCACTCTAAAGCCATTCAGAATCGAGATGGCAGCCAATTTAATGTGACAATTATCTTACAATTCCATCCATTGATCATGACGAGGGCTGATCAGGTATAAGAAGCGTTTCCTTTCGTGACTCATACATGCCTAGGGATTGGATGTTAATTGCATTCATCATGAAGCCCCCTCTCATCAAGAGATTGATCGATCGGTTATTAAACGAGTTTCTGACACAGAATGTTCATATACTTTACACAGGTTTGCCGACTAACCCCTATAATTCATCAAAATTATTCAGATATAACCCTCAACAATGCGTAGCTTTGGATGCCAAGGTCGGGGAAACATTATACCACAAATGGACTTGCGACACACGTGAGTTTCTCGTTTTCTTAGATATTACTCATAGACTAGCTTTAAGCTGATCAATATCGCTATCTTATCCATGATTGTTATGCAAAATCTGAGAGTAATACAGTTCGAATACTCGATTCTAATGGGTTTGAAAGGGAATACCTAATATAACTTCTATCAACACACTTCAGATGTGAGATAGATCAGCACTTCGTTGAGACCCCGAACTATTCACGCTTTGAAAAACAAGGGAACGATCTCGTTAGCTATGTCTTCCAGGTGACATTATAAAATAATCAGGGTTTTTAATTTCTTTAGGAAATGTCTGTGTTCAAATTCCCAGGAGATGAGAACTTAATTTTCCGTTGCCGTATTTCACTATGTGACATGGAAGATAAAGCTTCCGGCTGTGCGGAACTAATTGTAAAATCTATTTGGGAGTTAATAAGCTATATGATGATTTAAGCCCCCCAAATGTCAAAAAAATGCGAACATCTTGAACAAGGATAGAATAAGAAGGGAAGCCGGTTTACCTGAAGAAACTTCACAACGTCCTAGAATATTCCATTTGGATAAACAAACAGTAAGAAATATATGTGGTGATTCCATTCACAAATTCTTTAGATGCATCGCAACAGAAGACACAATGTCGTCGATACAAAGCCTGGGTTTGCTTTAACAGTAGAAGTGGAAACCAGGTAATCATAAATTGAAATTCGTGAAAACAAACCAACTGTTTAAGAACCTTGAACATTCTTCTCGGTGAGAATGTTAGACCGAAAAATTCTTTGAAGTACTGTGACATATCCTAAACCCGGTAAGGCTTCTACTCCCAGAGACTTTGATTTATTTTAAACGGGTATGATCAGCTCCTTTTTTTGTACAATAAAATGATTACTGCTTATAAGCTGATCAAGTAAGTGTATTTGGAAACAACCATGGTGAAAACATACATCATATACTTATCTTTATATAAACCGGGAAAAGTTGTGACCAGATTGAATGAGCAGAGTTCGAAACTTATTAATTGAGCAAATTCAAAAAGTAGTTCGAATTTGAGAGCAATTAGTATTGGTGGTCGTTGTAAGTTGAGAAGAATGAAGAAGCCTACGATGGTCATCATTCCGAAGAATATCGTTGATTGAGATGACCGTCATCACCAATTGAGCAATCAATAACAATAGTAAAACAAAGAGAAACGTGTACAACAACAAAATGCTGAAAAAATGAAATTTGGAGAGAACGAATTAGCAGAATACCTAGGATATGCTATCTGCAAATTGTTTGGCTGAATCTTGGACTTCGATAACAGGATAATGTCATAAATGACAGAAAGCAAGCGAGTTGAATTGAAGATGTAACATCCTAGACTTATAATGTTTGTCCTGAAAAAAAAAACAACATTGACTGCAGATCAAACGAAAATACATTTGAAGTAAACTAGACGATATCGAAAGACCTAAATCCCTATACAGAGAGGCGAAGAAGTAAAGCAAAGAACAAAAAACAACGTGTGTAGAAATAATCACTTCACGTAATCCTATGCCATACATGAGCGATGATTGGGTGGAACTGAAATCGAAGATATTATTTCCAAACTCATATTTGATTGCGAACGTCAAATGAAGAGAACGAGAAGTAGAGAATGCGGCGAAGAAAAGGGCTGTTGCAGAGATTAAGGCTGTCCCAACTGCTAAGACGGTATTCGCAAGATTCTGAGCTATTCAGATGGAAAAGCTCGAACTACATAGTTTACCTTCGAGTGCCGGCGACTAGGAACAAGTAAACGGCAAGTGAAGACTAATGTCAACGATGGAAGAATTATCGTAGCAAAGAAACCGAGACCCAGTAAAACCAAACACAGAATATAAAAATTGCTTCTGAAATCAAATATTTTCACTTTTTAAGTACAAAAAACTCACTTCGCAGTGTTAGTAGAATCTAATTGAGAGTAGTTAGAGTTCAACTCATAGCATACGACTTCTACGGCACTGAACCACACTATTATCGAAATCAAAGAGAAAGTTATATGCAGCACCTCCAATAAATATTTTTCAAGAGTACGGGAAAAGCATTAACTCACTTGAAAAGAAGTACGATAACGACCAACAAACGGCCAGAAAGAGAAAATGGCAGATAGGAACTGCAGAAGTGCTGGTATGTACAGGGACAATGCAGATTTGAAACGAACAAGATCGATTCCTTCAGAATATTTAAACAGTGATTGGGAAACAGAAAAAAGAACCTTCTCTCTTAATAACCAAGCTCTGATCCAACTCTAGGAATTCCGAATCACCTGTCTCCCAGTTTTCATCCTGTAACCGATACAATTTGAGAAAACAAAGAGAGGAACTCACGATGGAAAATTGGTAAGTACGCAGATAGGCGAGAACGAAAAACGTAATAGCACAAGCCAGCTGTATTAAAGCTAAGAGTGCAAAAGCTAAGTAACGGAGGGACATTTTCCGGTCAGATTTCCTAATAAAAATCAAATTATGGAAGTAGAAAAGTTTTCCTTACGTATGATGTTTTTCATCCTCGGATTGTTGCGGTATTTGTTGTGTTGGGATTTCACTGAACACATTCAATCGACTCGTAGAAGAAGGAGAAGGCGCTTCTGGTTCGTCCAGAAATCGGAATTCATCATAAATCTGCAAATCACAATATACAAGCAAATGAAAGAAAGAAAATATTACCGTTTCTAAGGCATTTTCTCCAAAAGTATCGAAATTTCTTCCTTTTTGTAAAGTCTGCAAGAATTCTATAAGAAGTCAAAAATTGGTTTGTTAGAAATTTATGCACAACCGCTTCAAAATGGTGAAAAAATAAAATAAGGCTCAGACCCTTGTTGCGTATAAGGACTGGGACATTTTGCTCAAAACGTTATTTTTTTATTTTTTAGAAATATTGAACAAATAAGGATTTTGAGGGTTTCCGGAATTGCTGATTTGAACAAAACCTGTGTGTCTCCTCTCATTCGAGATCGAATTCGAGGGATGGGCCCACTATATTGTTCCCTTCCTATTATGTCATTCTTCGGTTTTTGTTTGGCATATCTAATCTAGAAGTAACAAAATGAAGACAGGAAGAAGCTATTGAAAACTTACAGTGGCACTTATCTCTTCTACTTGTTGGTCCGAAGGTAAGGAAGGAAAAGTGGTTTGTGATGACTGACCTGCTATAGGTGGGTGTCGATTTAATCCCCATTGATCGTTTTTCATCATCTGAAATTACAAGAGAGTTGTTGAACAAGTTATCGATAGTTGATAAATCGAAGAGTAGTGATCGAAGCAAGAGGGAAACAGTGTTTTACAACTGTAGAGGTATATTAAATAACTTATTTGTGGGTCACCGAGGGATACTAGTTAAAAGAAACTTTCGAAGATGTGATTGAAAAGAACAAACGGTGGAGATCCTACTTATAGAAATGAAAATGCAAGGAAAGAGGAATAGTTGAAGTGGGGAATGAATTCCATAACTGGATCATGTTCCATTGACACCTATGTGCACGGATGGAGGATAGTTCCTCCTCCTATTGCATCCCTCGTTACTCATTCCTTGAATGCCTCACATTTCGATTACAAAATAATAAAGAGAGAGAGAGAGAGAGAGTGAGAGAGAGAAAGAGATAACTGAACTGTTAGAACAAAAGTCAAAAATTATAAATAATAAGTTCAACATCCGGAAACTCTTGTAGCACAGGATTTACTTTAATTATATCTTATTGCAAAAAAAGCAAAACAGGTTCTTTAGTGTAGTTGAATGGCATTCCAAGTATTCTTAGGCGAATGCATACTTTATAAAAACAAAAAAGGTTTACAGGCGTGTGGCCGTGTGTTGTACATTGCGAAGACTCGGCTTGACGAATCAACCATGCCTGTCATGACAAAAGAGGATTAGCAAGTACAGATCGTGCAGAACAGACAACAATTTCCATAAACGACGATTGAAAGTGAAATTGTGGAGAAAGCCGTAAAATCTTCTCTGTATCTAAACAAGTTGTAAAGTCAAACAGATTTCCTAACCGTTACTGAAGAACAGGATCAAAAATAATAATTTTTATTTTCAATGCAAAAATGTAATAGAAATATGTACATATGAATATATACAACTTATTAGAAATATCATACATTAAAAACTGAGTAAGAGATCAAAACCTCCTGATGCTGTACTGTACATGAGTTGAGAAGTAATAATAAGTGAAAATTTACAATCAAAACAACTTTTGTAAGGAAGACAATGACGAATCATTGCTCAATTTCGAGAGAAAAAGAGTCCAAATCTTCGTTCTCACCATCTATGAACTTTAAAAGGTCTCCTACTTCACCATCCCCTTCATATAACGTGTCATCTTTCATGTTATCGAAAGAATTGTTTCCTCCTATATCCGGGGTGGTTGTGTTGAGCGTGTGCAAGAAATTATCATTCATTTTCGGCACGACGGGAGGTTCACGACTAATAGGCATAACAGGGATTGCTTGACCTATTACAGATGTTTCACACTTCCTAGTTACACATGGAACTGTGTCATATTTGCCTTTCCCGTATAGTTCATTCAGAGGAACGTTACTGCTCTCTATCTCCTTGACTATTAATTCGCCGTCCGAATCTGAATATAATCATAGTAAATTTCAAAACCTAAACTGCCAACCATATTTATCGTATAAACTTGCTCTGTGCAGCCTACATTTCCCATCCCAAACTATAACATCGACAGAAACCACAGGTCTCCTAAAAAAATGAGAAAAACGAAAAAAATATTCAACTACCTGCAGCATGTGTGGGTGCAGAAAGAGAATAAACGCTGACTGACACTATACAACACATGATTGCTACAATGATTTGCATAAGGCAGACAACTCTTATTACACCTGAAACAGAAACATAAGTCTTAACCATTTTTCTCGAAATACCGAATATTATTTTCGACATGATGACATTTTTTCAAATCGTCGTAATCAACATCAATTCCGTCTCGGGAATCAGGAGTAGTGCAAGAGAATCTGTTCTGTACTCGTTGAGAAATATCACTGTTTTTCATATGGTCAGAGAGAGCGTTGACACGAACTAACAAACCAGCCAGCTTCTCCTAAAATTATTAGTGAATTGAGAAACTGCAGCTTTTTTGATTACATAGGAATACTGGCTTATTTCACGGTTTCTCACTTTTCTGCTTTTCTCCCAAAATGTCTGCTCATCCCAATACCCTAAAACTATTATGAAATGTAATTCCCATAGTACAAACCAGAACAGAAGTTGACGAATGTGAAAGAATCGTCGTCAGCTTCCAACAGTTCTTCTTTGAAATCTGAATTCGTAGTTGAGGAAAATATACGATGAACTCATAAGCCAACCTTCATGCGCGAACCAATTAAAAGGGGAATAGCACATATTCTGAAATCATACAATACAACCTCTTGTGCTAATGAAATAAAACCCACCTCATCTTCGTTCTGTAATGCCTCTAGCTCTGTCAGATTCTGAAATCACAAGAAAATGAATCCATATTCAGCATATTCTTACGGTTCTCATCGTTTTTGACTGAAGATTTCGGACGATTTCTCTCAGATTTTTCCCTTCTTTGACGTCTGCTCCAACTGAATCATCTGTAGAGAAAGTCGGTCCAATCGACATTTCTTTCTGATTTTGTAAATTAGAAAAACTTTTACATTACTATAGCAAACCAGTATCTTCTCCATCTTATTGAATACATCAGGTGTTTTCTTCAGTTTCTTCCTTAAAGCTCGCTCCTCTTGGATAAGTTTTCTTTTCAGCGTCGCAGAATAACCATCAGTCTCTTCTTTGGGCTTTTGTTGATGTTGCACCTGTTGCTGGAGCTTTGGTTTTTGTTGCTGTAGTTGCTGGTTTTCTGATTTCTGCTGATGCTGTGAATGCCGCTGTTGTAGTTGGTGCTGTTGTAGTTGAAGATGCTGTTGTCGCCGTTGGTGTTGGTGCTGTGAATTTGCATTTGGATGTAGTTGTGGTTGTGATCGTGGATGCTGCGGTTGTTGCGGCTGTCCCTGTTGCTGATGTTGATGTTGGTGATGCAGCTGCTTTTGATGTTGTTGTTGTTTATGTTGCTGCAGTGGTGATAAAAGTAACTGTCGCTGTTGCTGCGAAGTAGAGCTGTTGATCTTTGCAGAATCTGAGGATGAAAGTTTAGTGATCACAATACTTACAAACTCACATTTCTCTTTTGGTTGAATATAAACGGCATCACTGCTGTTTACAATATTCACATCGAAAGACTCTCTGACTATATTATCAGGTACGGCTGTACTCTGGTAGTTCACAGAACCGGGGGCTATGATATCAATCACGTCATCGTCATTAGGAGTTTTTTTCAGTATCCTCTTTGTAATCTTACGGGGACTGGGGGTTAACTTCGACAGATTTTTACTTTCAGCTAATTCAGCCCGTGCTTGCACTGATCGGCGAGCAGCTAATCGCACTTCCTCAATTATAGTATCAATCGTAGAAGCAGTAGTGGCTGTAAATTGGATGTAGATATAATTTCTGTAATCGATATTACTTTTAGATTTTGTAACATCCGATCCATTAAGAGCACGAGTAACTTGGATGCTATTTGTCGTAGGAGGTTCGACTAAGCTTTTCGGATCGTCGGAACGTCCATTTGTATCACAACTAATTTGGGGAATCATTGATTTCGATAGCTTATCGCTAATAATGAAAATTGGGCTTTTCTCTCTTTCCGGCAGAGGAGGTTTTCGGATTATACTTTTACTGGATATAGGTACGAACTCCTGGTTATTATATGCTGGCACAAAATTATAGACAGGTCTACAAGAAAGAACTTTGAGAAGTAATATTCAGCTTTTACCTTTTAGTTTCATATGTCGAATCAGTGAAATCTGTTTGTCCTAATTGGGGCAATTGAGGAATTTGTATTGGAGGAAGAGGTGGTTCAGATAGAGTAGTTTTCATCATTTTCCCTGTCGATGCTTGATTAGGTGAATTGGGAGAAGGGCTCCTATGAAAGACATTTGGATGCGAATGCGATTAGAACTCAAATACCGAGCAGAAGTCAAATACATATATTCTCCATTGCTGTTGGGTGAGTTGTAGTAGTCCTCATAATAATAGTCGGTGTATTGCATTTTTTTCTTCCTGACATTCTGCAGAACTTTTATATAAATCCTTCCTTCATTAAAACAATCACTACCTTCATTCCGTACATGATGAGATGGGTACTGCAAAGTACCTCTCCGCTATCATTCCTAACAGCATTCGTACAACGCGAAACTTCGGATTTTTTATCTGTTACAAGAAACATTATTTGAAATATAATTTAACTTTCTACTTCGAGGACGGCATAGATGTTCACATTGAGTGTATGGCGCTCTAGGATCCCATAGAATATGCCTAATACAGTATCTATAGCAGAGAATGGCTCTTTGTTTGCACTAAAATAGAAGTAAAACTGAGAAGAGCCATTAGTTTCACCTTCAGTCCAGTTTTGTTGTCATTATGTTCGCAGACAGTTGAAGTAGTAGGAGTATTATTAGAAAGATTAGTGGCGATAGCAAAAGATGGAATATTAGAGGAACTAGTGCTGCTTTCAGTAGATAAATTATTAGTAATATTATTAGTATTGGTGTTAGTATTATTAATGTTAACATGGTTACTGTTAGTAGAAGATGTAGTTCTTTCTATGCGTGACCGTGCTCCGTTGGCTTCCGCCTGTCGTCTGGCTGTATCATTCAAAATCTAGAGATTCATAATTAAGAGTTCATTAAAATCCGGGGAAAACCAACTTTTTGTTTAATAGTTTCTACCAGTTCTGTTTGGGCTTCATCTTCGAAAGAATCCATTTTTCTGGGACACAACCGCTTCACAGGGAATAAAACTGAAAAGATGATGTCGTATTATGAAACCAATGCTCTAGAAAGTTACCTGAATTACTCAAGGGAGCTGATGGTGAGTTAAATGACAAATGTTGGGGAAGTACAGGACTATTGTACGGTAGGTGTTGGGGAGCTACTGCGGAGTTATAAGGAAGATGTTGGGGAACAACCGGATACTTCCCTGTCATCGTTATCACAGATACTTTCTTACTAAGGTGATTAGCTTGAGCTATCCGACGGTAGGTTGTGAACTGCTTATTACTACTAGCTGCTTTTGCCAATCTTGCCTGAACTAGGTGTTGATTGAAGTATTTCTAGTAAACTAACATTCTCAGTCTTATATCTTGGTCGCTTAGGAGGTAAGACAAAAGGTTCCTTGTCATCATTCCTGATAGGTTTCCTACTTTTGTTTTCAGCTCGAATTGTGTCCGGTCTATAAGCAAAGTCTCGCGCCTCCTACTTATCTCAGTTCTTACTGTTCTGTTGCAATAGGCACTGATGCAGAAGTGGATGGGACATCAGTCATGCTGAACTAGTGATTAAAAATGAAAGTAGCGAAACAGAGATAACGATGAAGCCGATATTGAACGGCACACTATTGTGAAGCTAGGACTACATAATGTAAAATTTAACAAAACAAAGAAAACAACAATGGAAATAACAAAACGTTTTGCTTTAGTCTTCATCTATTTCTTCTGGGTACCGATCTCTCACCTGAATATAATTATGAAAATGAAATGAACAACAAAGAACAAACCTCCAAATCTTCCCCATATTGGATAGTTGTATCAATAACCAGTAATAATTGTTCAACACTCTCATCATCATCAACATTTAAAGGAACAAACTTCACAATCGAATAGTCTTCGAGAACCTGTAGTACATATATGTCTTTAGATGAATTCAGAAGTGTTTACCTGAGCGATTGCTCTGGTTAAGTTTCTATGACGTTCATTCCAAGAATGAGTTGAATCTAAATCAACTATGCTCCGAGTATCAGTTTCGAGAAAATCTTCAACGAGCTGCTTGTTTCGTTCTGACAACAAATCTATCTTAGTTAATATGTTAACTGCGGGTGTTTCTATCGAAACCATAGCTGAGAGGGCAGTTAACGCTCCAGCAATAAACCTTGAATTGAAATATGTATTTGAGTCACCTATAAGACCAACTTTTCAGCCTCTAGTACGAAATGTGTATCAATTAGAAAAACAGAGCATACATTGAAATCCCATGATCTGAATTTAACTGATACTATTCTGTTCAACGACAAATTCCTGACCTTAGTGCATCAACTATGGTTCGCATTACTGGTAGATGGGAATATAACTCTATCTGTCCAGGACAATCGAATATGAAGTATTCATCTTCTCCTTCGTTTATAGCATCATGTAACCATTCCAAGTTTTGAGCTAAATATCTTGAAAATGGAAGTATTATCACTACTATTCGTACACTTACTCCATACAGAAAACTAATGCACCATTGGGTCCCATAACAAGCTCTTCATCTTGTAACACATCGTCTACACTTATCAAATCTCTGACATCTGAATGGAACATTCTTATAAACATAGAAAAGTAGGCACGAAGTGACCTGCAATGGTGGGATAATTGAACCTTTCAGCGGCCGGATCAAGATTGACTATATGAACAGTTCTTCCAACATTTGTACAATGATTGTGGATAACAGAACAATACGTCGACTATTTATGTTCACATCTAATTTGAAACTATGAGCCCAAACATACCTTCCCACTCCCAGCGGGTCCCATCACTAGCTGAGCGTATTTCATCTAAACCTAAACATACAATAACAAAACATAGGAGAAATGAAAAAAAACATCTTGGAGAAGCAACCAATGAAGAACTAAAAAATTTCGAATAAAATGTTCTATTAGCATCATGAAATGAAATCATTAAAGTATAAATGTCAAAAGACTCCATCAGTAATAACTGAACCCGGATCAATCTCGCTTTGAGAACAAAATTAGTGGACTAGCTACTAGGTAATACACGTTACTCCAGAAGTTATTGGTAGAAACCAACTATTCACAAACAATTTGTGCTATCTTACTTTCTTCATTTTCTCATAAAATTGAGTGAGGAGACCTTCCTGATTAGCACAATATCTTCGGAACTCACTCAACATCTGATCTTGGAATGCTTCGTCGCAGAAACTAAAACCCATTTCTTTTTACATATTGAACGAATAAACGAACCTCGCTATTCTGTATTTGTTACTCAACATGTGATTCCAAGCCCAGAAGAAAAACGGTTCAGTTTGCGAAAATTCGAGAGATACAAACATTCCTCCTGTCTGGAAGGTTTGCATAATGTCTTTTTCAATAATGTGCACAGACTTGGTGAATAAAATGACGTGAAGGTTGAGCTTTCATTTTGATACGCGGAAAATAGTTCCCTGGTGTTGGTGTTGGCGTGGCATCAGGAGTTTCAATGACTGAAACAGAATGTTTCAAATGGAACCAAATGATACGAACTATTTGGAACATGAGAGCTTGTAGAGCCTCGGCTAGTAGGCGGATGATCAACATGACAAGCCATTGCTGTGAACCCGAAGCGATATAAAAGATATAACAACACATTTTCAAGCTGGAACAGAGAAAAAAATATTGTTATAAAGAATGGGCCTCACATCTGCTTCTGGCATATCGCTCGCTTTGACCTGTATTCTTATAGGACAACGCAATGGATTAGAGTGCACATCCTTGGGTAGAGCTATCGCATCTTCAGGGACAGGAAACATGAGATAATTGTTTTGTTTAGCAATCTTAAGGATGGGTTTGAGATGTTTATGCCAAATAAAATGAAAACCCTTTGTTGTTCAGAAATAGCTTGAGCTACAGTTTGGCCGGTAGCCATGAACCACTTTACATTCATCTCAAAAGTTTTCTCTGTACAGAACGCTCTTTCGTAACAAATCTATAATATTCATGACTTCCAGGATAATACTAAGTGATCTTACTCTAGCACGTTCTTTCATAGCATTCATATTTTTAGGCTCTGATAAGTCAACGTCAATTGCTGAATGTTGGTATGGACAAATTTCCATATGATTAGTATTATTTTTATCGCACCCCTCTATGAATTCCACACACATCCATCTGAAATAGGACGATAGAAAAATCTCGATCTCGAGTAATCAAAGCTTGCCTCAAAAAAGAATCATTGCCACTATCCTGACGGAGTTTACCATCAAGCCCACTATCCACAACATACCAAAGTTGGAACCCGTATTTGAACTCTGATAGATCTGCAGGAACATAATGATCACCCTCTTCATATTCATCAGCATCTGGAGCAAGGTATTTGGAATGAGTAAAAACTCAAAAGCCATCTCACATGATTTAACTATCCTGATTCTGTTTGTCGTAACGAGATGAGTTTTTATAAAATTCGTGGCAGCTTCCTTGGTTAGTACGCCATTCGTATTATCTAAAGCATGTCAACATTTATAACTTGTCGTGCGACACTACACTACTCACGTGTTAACCAGTTTACTAAATGGAAAGATACAAACATATTTTGAGGTACGCGACAATCGGAGGTAGAAGTAATACCCACGAACCCACTCTCCAGAAAAGCAGATAAGACCTGTCAGATATTTTAGTTATCAATCAAACTACCGTATTGGAAAACCTGATCCGGCTGGCTCGTAGAAACAAGAGACGGACTAGGAGCAGAGGACCCTCTGTATTTCAATTCTAACTTGTTAATATGAAGCAAAATTTTAATCATGCCCTCGTAAGCAACTGAAAACAGGAACCATTTATGAAATTATGGAGAATTTTTCTCACCCATAGTATCACAAGAATCTGTCCCACGGAACATGATTCCCGGGCTTCTTCTGGAGTTTTTCTCGCTGGATAATTCTATGGACTGTGCAACTAGCATGAACCTTAACACATCACTTTGAGACTTAACCTACTCTTCTCATCTTGCCTTGATGCATACGGTTTAACCTCGTCTTTGAATAGAATACTACTGCGAGGGTTTTTCACTCCACTGTCGAACTCTGCCCAATTCAGTCTATCTAACTGATGCGACTTGAAGCTTGTAGTGCTTTTCTCATAAACAGCAGCATCAGGCACCTAAAGTTAATGAGGATGAGAGATAAAAAAAACTTTTTTCTACTTGGAAAAAATACGAGTAAGGCTGAGTTTTTGTGGTACGTAAATAATCAGCTCCACCCACTCCTGTACCAGGAGATTGTGATAACTCATATGACTCGTAAAGGGCATCTGATGAGCGAGCTTCACGTATCCTCACGTGTTCCACAGGTAAACCCATCTCTTTCCCATGATCGGTCGAAGATGAGTTAGGGATTATATCACGAGCAGTAGAATGTAATCTGTTGTCCATACCATCCACTGTCCTACGCTCACTATATTGTTTTATATGTCCACCCGATTGAGATCGAGTTGTGAGGCATTTTCTGGGCTCTAAGTGTGGATAGAATACCAGAACGTGGATGTATGAGCTATATAGGACTATACGCTGATAAATCTGGAAAGAAAGTTGAATCTGGCTGACAAAAAAGATAAGCAAACCTTGCTGAATGAAAGGCACATTTCCTTTATGATTAACTCATCATTCTTCTCCATTTTCCCTATTTTGTCTATAGATGCCTACAAAGAAAATATAACAAATAATCTTTACATAAAAACTCACATGAATATATTTAGTCGGCAATAAAATAATTTGATATCCTCTCTGCAATCTTTGACAAACGAGCTGCTCGAACAGAGCTAACCCATACGTTCTTTGGTTATTGCCATATTTTTCTCGATCTTCCTGTTAAGAATCCTTTATATCACCTCACAGTCAATGATCAACCTTAGAAATGTCCTGATCTAGATAAACTTGATGTTCGTTAACTTTGTACTCTGCCAAGCTCGTTCCGTCAGGGAAAAAATCTGTGGTTATAGGCAACAAGGCCGATCGCACTAGAGATTTCCAATCCATTCCAATTTCAACATCAGGATTCCATTTTTCTTCTCCAGTACTACCCCAAGCCCAAACAGTCTGCTTTTCATTTTGATTATCTCCATCAAAGCATTTTTGAAGCGAGTTGAGGGCAGCAACTTTTGAGAATTCGTTCAAGAAACCTGAGATTCGAGGAGAATCAGGTCGAAAGCGCGAAGGAGACCCCGAGACTAAAAATGTATGCATTATGATGAAATTAAATATTGAACTACTAGAAAGGGCTTGTCCTCTTCTGTCTGAAGCCATCGGAACCTCTTCTTCATTGATAACGACAATACTTTTACCAGCAACGTAGTGATGAGCAAGTTTTGAACGACCCTAAGTTCGATGTTGAGGTTTCCTCACAAATCAACTTACTTTTTCATCGACAGGGAAGACATGGATCCAACGTCTTCTGTTAGCTGTTATAGGTACAACAAACTCTTCTGGTCGAAATGGGTTGATGAGAGTAGAATGCTCAGAAACATGCTTGAAAACTTGAAGATCTAAGCTATCTTGCGTACCCCTTCGTTGATACGGAACAATGATTTTCTTTCTAATGATAGCTAAAAACTGTTATTAAGCAGAAATAAGTAATCTGTAGAACTTTACGTGCTGCAGGAACGTCTGAGATATCCTTAGGAGAGGACGATAAACCAACAATTTTTTCACGAGCAAGAATACGCTGGAATGAAAAAAAAAGAATCCTGTAGAAAGGTCGAAACATACATCTAACACTTGTCTCTGTCGCATGTTCTCATCTTCATTGGATATAATTCCTAGTTCTCTCTTCAGATCATCTTCGTTTGAGAAATAATCTAAAAAATAATAGTAGCACACAGAATACACAAATCAAAAATGCGACCGACTCGTAGCCAATAAAATGAAAGAAATGGAAATGCCAGAAAGTCACTGTATTTCAAATTACCTGATTTTGAATTGAGAATCTTATTGAACGCCGTACAGTCGTAATCGAACATGTTCAATCCTTCATCAGTTGCTCCTTCCAACATCAACCCACCCTTCGCACTCTCAAATAACGAGATAATTCTGTGATTTGGATTTGTTTGAAACCAGCAGAGCGTTTGGCAACACTATTCTCGGTCGAAAGTGCATTGTTATAGCAGTTCGTCCATCCATTCTATAGTACGAATAATTCATCCAGTGAGGAATAAAATAATCTTCCTTGGGTGTGGAGTCTGGAAAAAATTTTGTAAAAGTTTCAAATACAATTTTATACCTGCGTTATGGAAAACGAACAATGGGACGGCATGAAGAGGCTGTTCTCCTAAACAGACCTGAAAACCCTAACTTGTCAAAAATAAAAGTTATCCATACTAAATCAAGAGATATTCCCATATCGATGATTCTTTGTTTGGTCATGTTCACTAGATCCCGATCCACGTTCAAAACTCCTCCACCGGGAGTAACAAAAATAATCTAGCAAATAGCTTGTTAAAATAAAAGGCAACATGACATACCTGCTGACCAGTAGTTTCATATCTTCGATCTGAATGGTAAATACTGAAAGAGTTCATACTCATGTTCAGAACTTGAAGGAAGTTGCCATCTGCGGCTGTAGAGATTTCGTATTTATCCCTGAAAATGGAAAATGTTTTTTTTGGTTAACCTTTGTTCTTACTTCATGGTTGGGTAGCTTGCAGCTAGTTGCTCTTTGATTTTATCCTGATATGTACTATAGGTGCGTTTTAACTTAATTTTTGAAAGTGAATGAACTTAAAGAAAAAAAATCAGTACCAACAGTAACACATTATTCCAATCTTCGTAGTGTTCATTTTGAACAAGAAGGCGATAAAAATCCTCAAAACATCTATTATGAAGTTAAAAAAAAAGATTATTACTTGAAAATATCGGCCTCTATGGTCCTTGGTCCCTGATCCTAGTTTGACTTTGGTCTCATCATCAGGAGTTTCAGTGAAATAAAAACGAGAACATAATATAATCGAGACATAGTGAGCACATTGGTTTTTTCTCCATCTGTTAAACAATTCAGCCATAAAACCTGGAAAGGATTGAAATCATAGAAATCGTGACTGTTCTTAATTCACCTTGAACGCATTTTTCAAAATATAAATCTCCTTGAGGATCCAACTCCCACATCTCTGAGCTCATTTGAACATATATAAGAACCTGAACAACAACTCAATCTTAAGATAGCACCTCAACCTTACCATGCTACTGCTTGAACGAAAAACTACACGAGTATCTTTGCTCACATAGCCACATCTCACGACATTACCTTTGAGCCACATATCAGATACTTTTGTAGCTATGTTGAAGTGTCGTAACTGAAGGAACCTGATATAAGAAAATATGAATCAAAATACCGGCTTATGTAAGTAAGCACAATTATCGATGAGCTCGTTCCTATATCGCCACATATCAGCTCTTGACATGTACAACTCCTTGAACGTCAACTGAATATTGTCCAAAGCAACCTGAAGGAACCATGAACTTCAAGAACGTTGAAAAAGGGAACAGTTACATCTTTCAGACGATCATCTGGTATTACAGTTATCCTCACAGACCAATCAGGCTTATAAGATTGGAAATGAGTGTCCGGAACAAGGTTTCGCTCGATTGAAATAGTTGGTTCCTGAATAAACGATGCAAAATTGAAAAATAGTTGGAAATGCTACCTTCAAGCCTAGTTTACGTTCAGTTATGACTGCATCTAAGCGGAAAATAAGTGGCGTCCCAAAAGATCCGTCTTGGCTAAATTTCTCTACTTTGACAATGACACCTTTTCGAATATTAACATCAAGATACGGCTTAAATCGATTATATAAACTGTTTGAAATGCAGCAAACTAACTATAAGAACAACAGTGTGCTCATGACAAGTGCGTCTGGAATTCAGAACAGAGAGAACAGATGAGCAAAATTTACAGTTGTCCCCATTATGTAGAGCTAGTTTACCTCTAAGTATCTGAAGTCAAATCTGAATCCATACGAGAAAAGATTAATCGAACCTGTACCCCATAGTCAGAAGAAGTTTTGTCACCTGCTTCTGGTGACTCATCCATTATTAGAACATTTGCTAAATCTATGGAAGCTTTTATCAAAATGAAACGGAGACCAATAATTTCAATGGAGTTAACCAACAAAATAAGAGCAGACACACCTGTTATAATTCATGATCGATTAACAGAAATTCAACAACCAAATAGATTAGGAAAACAACGAGTAGAAGTTGTCAGGAAGACACTATGAACTTCAGGAAATATAATGAGAATCTTCCATGAGAAACAAGATATTGGCATAAAAAAAGAATGTTAAGTTATAGTGTGTAATCGAGTTCATATCGAACGTATGTGTTTCTATCAGTATCTTCCACTCGAGGATATCCCGCGACAAGAGCATCTTGAGAGCCGAGAATTAAATTATTATAAACCTGTAAAACATTATTTAATTTTCATCTAAGATGCACGACTACCTTCCAAACTGGCTCACGAACTTTTCGGGCGGGATGCCATAAGCATTGTAGGCAATATTGTAGAACCTAAGTTTTTTTTTTAAATAAACCATGACAGTATGATAGAAATATACCTTAATAGGTCCAAGAGATACTCTCATGCCTTCGCAAGCAAAAACAAAACGTTGAATAAGATGAGGAGAATTTTCCAACATGTTAGGCCAAACAAAGTTCAACAAATGAAGAAGGGCGTCTTCACAACCAAAACCATAAACACCTGAAACAAAATATGATCAGCAGACGAGAGATATGACATACCTAAAGCTAAATGAGCTACGGCGTCAATAGCGATCTGTCGATGTACTTGATCTCTTTCCATTAAAGCATCTATTAACAAAGGTGTAACAGCATATATGTAATCTTTAGCCATTTCACCAATATACTGGAACATCGAACTTGAGTTTTTTTTTCCGGCGAACCCTCATTTACCTCAAACATGAACGAAAGTGCTTTAAGCACACCATTCTGCACATTCATCTCCGGTACTCTGTACTCGTTCATGATTGCAGGTAGAACAGTGAAAGGTGCACAAGTTTCCGCAACAATTGCAATAGCCACAGTTGTACAGACACGAAGTTGACGCTCCTGGACTTTCAAATTATTGAGAAGGGTAGCCAAAACGTCATGAGGGCCAATTGCCTATAAACAGTCATGTTTGAGAAAAAAAAAACTAAGATTAAGTAATCACTTTTGCGATATATCCAAACGTATTGATAGCGGCGCGACGAATACTTTTCTTGTGAGCTTTCAGAAGTTCTAATAGTTCGAAACAAATACGCATCCATTCTCTTGCAGAGACGAATTCGGAACCACGATCAGCAATTGCTCCCACCAAATCAATACAGTTTTCTTGTACTTTCTCATGTCGATTTTTCAAAATGGGTGTGAGTCTAAAAAGATTTAATCCCTCTTATTAATATTACGTCACGATCATTAACATACCTAGGTAAAAGATCCTTGATAGGTGGAGTCATCTTAGTCATTCCAATTACATTACAAATAGACTTCAAAGCTCCAAGAATAGATCCGAGGACTTCAGGATATTCTTCTCCCAAATACTCATATAATACAAGGCCTAAATGGCTCATCAGTTTTTCTTCCTCACACGTATGCATAACGGGGGCAATTCGAGCAATCTGTACAACAAACAATAGAAACATAGGAAAAACTTGAAACTACCAGATCAGCAGCTTGCTGTCGAACTTTAGCAGCTTTGTTATTTAAACGCCAAAGGATAGTACCACAGATTTGAGGCAAGTATTGTTTTGTGCGTCTACAGAGAAAGGTTCAGTCAAAAAGTAATTTCGGAACACAACCTTCCCAAAGCTTTGCAAATTGTTCCAAAACCATCCAACATAACAACATCTTCTTGTGTCTGCTCTTGGAAAGCGTATAAAATGCCTTCAATGACACGTTGTGAAAAGATTTCTTAGACAAACTGAGATTTACCGTCAATTAACTGTTCCTCGAGTCTTGAATCTATTTCATTACCACCATGTAAAGCAATGATGTTCTCGACAGTTTCCATAACCATTTTCCTGTAGAAAAAGAAATATCATCAGCTCCTAGCAGTCAGCCAAGATACCTGTATTGTTCATTTTCATCTTTCAAATCATCGACAATTCTGGCAATCATTTCAGAGCTTCCGACTTTTGCAGCAATCTCGACAGTGGTGTCAACAAGTTGTCTGCAGAAAATAGTAAAATACTTCAGGTAAATAGTGATACCTGTAGTTTCTACGATCCATAGCCATTCTTTGATTCCAGAAGGCACGGAAGAAACTAGGAAGAATTTCATCTCGAATATAAGCAGGTTCAACACCATCGGTAGCACAACATTGTTTCACAACCTACAACTACTATTATGAACATCAGCCAACCGTACAAACCTTCAGAACGATTTTCTTCATTTCTTCATCGGGAGATACGAACTCACGGATCAAAATGAGCATCACTTCTCTCGTATAATACGAAGCGTATTCAGCATCCATAAGAGGAATCAAGTATCCAATAGCTTTCAAGAAAGCAGCAAGACCTTTACCTCTGTGCATACGAATACCCTGAAACGGCAGATTCAACTATATAAAAACAAAATAACATACTTTCCACAAAGGTTTCAATACAGAATCGAAAGCCTCAATACCATATGGTGTGGCTGCTTCAGCCAGAGCAGCCAAACATAATGCAGTAATCGTACGCACCTATATCAGAAACTAGCTAACAAGATTGTGAATGGTCAGTACCTTCTGCTGCTCGTCTTCCAAACCACCTTCAACGATTTCAACGAGAGCTTTCAGATGGGGGAGGACAGCGCATCCCATCAAAATAGCCATTTGTTGAACAATTTTAATACCTTCAAAGCATCAAATTGGTAATCAGAGAAACAAAAAAAGTCATACCAGTGTGCCTAGCTTGCCAACTCTTCTTACTTTTACACACGGCTTTCAAGAAGGGAAGAAGAGCTGGGATACCCAAAGCAGAAGCAACTACAGCGAAAGCTCTAGCAGTTGTATTACGGACGTATCTAAAATTATAAATATCTAACTGAGATAGCTTGAAAAAAAAATTACTCGTCGACGTTGTCAATATCTGGACGCATGGTGGAAATCATTGTCGCCAGTCCAGCCGCTTTAGCCAAATTAGATATGATTTCACGACCTAAGAAAAGAACAAATGAAAATTAAAAATTATCTCAAACCTTCAACTCTAGCATAGTAATCCTCGTCAATGAGCAATGGCTCAATAACAACAAGAATTTTGTGAACATATGGGCGAACTAAGTCATCAAGCTTGTACAAAATTCTATCAATTACCTTAAGATATGAACATGATTTTGACACCAGAACTTGAAGAACTTACTTTAACCATGAGATGGCGTTCCTGATCTTCCAGAGATGGTGACATCAATAGAGGCAAAATTTGATTGAAAAGAGGGCCAGCACCATACCTGCGAGCATTCTCGGTAATCTAAAAATTGAAAACAATATTTGGATTCAAAATATTAGTTTTACTTTACGGAGACCACTTTTACGCATCGGAGGAGTACCGTTCTTGATTTTCAGAAGGTGCCCCATGATTTCTCTCTCAATGAGCTCTTCTTTGGATAAAGTACCTTGAAACAAAACGAATATGAGAATGAATCATTGTATAAAAAACTACTTTCATCAACATCCATTAGCAATTTATCGAAGTACTGCATATCGTCTGGCTTCAGAGGAGGTAATTCCGGGTTTTTTGGTTGAGTGTCAACGATGCCACCAACACCTACAAAAAAGCAATTATGCGAGCCGTCTATGCTTAAGTCACCTTTCTCTCCAACTCCTTCTCTGTCCGGAGTTCCTTGCATTGTAAATCCCGCTAGGCCTCCCATAGGAGTAGGAGTTGCCATAAGTTTGTGAGAAGGAGTTCTATGGGGGATGTAGCCTGCTGGTACGGGTAGAATCTAAAACTTAGTATGAAAGCATATTCCTGACTGATATCACCTTATAACCAGCGGGGAACAAAGCATCTAATTCTTCATCACTTAATGGCTTATTTCTGTCATCAATTTCTTGATTCCATCTGAAATTCGACACATGAATCTTCAATACTAAAGTAATTCCTTTACCGGTATATTTGCATTTGATCTGGTGTCATTGGTACTTGTACTGCTGGTGTTTTCATTCCCATAGCTGCAGCGCCCATTGGTGTAGCTCCTCCAGGAGTCATCATTTGCTGGAATATGTAAGTGAGAGGTAAAATTCGAATATGAGCTTACAGGTGTAGCTGATGGGTGGCTTGGAGTAAAAGAAGGAGTTTGAGCACCAGCTGGCAGTGTAGTAGTTGGAGTTTGCGCAGGAGTCAAATCCCATCTCGAGCGACGCTTCGACGCGGAAGGAGTGTCCTCAATCTGAATAAATCTTAGAAACCTTTTGTTAAGTATATCAAACTTTGCTATCATCTCTAGCTGGAGTTTCCATACCCCAACCAGGAGTCATACTTCCATCCATACCGCTTTCCTTAGGAGTTTCGTCCCATCTATTACGTCTGCCTGGTGTTTGGGCTGCGGGTGTTGAATCCCATCTATGATAATGTAAGCCTGATCAAACACTATTAAAGAAAATACCTGTTAGCAGAAGGAGTAGCAGCCGTAGCACTATGAGCTGGAGTTTCATCCCAACGAGCAACATGTGGAGTTGCAGCCTGAGTTAACAGTTAGTAGAGAACTAAACATCTCAATACCTCTGCACTGATGCTTGAAGATATCCCCAATCTTTTTCGAGGACCGCTGGGAGTTGCTGGTTCAACTTTAACATCGACACCCTAGAACAAAAAATTACAACCTTGCATGCAAGTATTAACAACATCGTTAGCCGAATCCTCCCATCTTCCTTTCTTCTTATCAGGCCCCATCGATTTCAAATCACCAGATTGAGCTAAATCGGCTATCTCTTTGTCCACTCTAGCTTTTTCTTCCTTATATAGCTGTTCTTTCATGACTTGAGCATAGTCTCGGTTGCGTCCATCAGGAGTTTGATCAACTTAACGAAGTAAATTATGATGATAAATCATATAAACAACTTACCGAAAGCATCAATACGCTCAGGCGATATTTGCAATTTGCGGGCTCTTTGCTGATACTGTGATTGACGTTCTACAATAGTTCTAGTTCGAGTTTCGGCAAAAGGATCAATATCCTAAACAAAACTAAACTTCAGAAATAATACACTGAATCTTACATCTGAATCTTTTGCAACTTCATTTAAAAATTTAGCAGGTACGGCATAACTACTTTGCTTTTTTGGAGCAATAACTTCCTCTTCGTCATCATCGTCCATATCACCTAAGGATGAGAATGAAGCAAGAATTTGATAAATGATATAATACCGGCACTGATAGAAGATACGTACTTGTCACCTCTATTACCACGAACACTCCCATAGACATCCTAATGACAGTGAATTATAGAAAAAAACATTTCTTATTTCTTACGCTGTCATATTCTCCTGCTTGACCGAACTTGGCTTTGTTCATGCTCAAGTTTTCATCGTCTTCATCAGCTTCATCAATAGGACGTTTTTCTTGCAACTTCATGGCATAAGCAGCCGCTTCTGAAATCAACATCAACAATAGAGCTTGAAAAACACTATTAAATGCTTTCTTAATGATAAATGCTTTCAGTTATGGCGAGTATACGCTACATTCAAACTTCATGCGAGATTTCAAATATTTGATTAAAGTAAATAGCCTACCTTCAGCGGTCTGATTATGACGCGACATAACCGAAGTTTAAAAACTGAAATCACAAACTAATATAATCTCTAAGAAATCGTAACAAAAACAACAAATATATACATGATTTCACTTATAAAGTAATGAGGGAATTCAAAAATATGGTAATCAGCGCGGAGAAGACGCACCACAGAATAGATTCGAAAACGCGGGACGCGTCAGCAAGCGCGTTAGCGTAAACGTTGGGCAGCTTCATTCTCTTTTTCTATATACAAGTACTTTTCCCTGGTAATTATTGTAAATCCATCAGTTCTGCTACAACATTTACCAGTTTTACCGACGTAGAATTATTCTGATTTGTTGCTGCAGGGAACGGTTGAGCGTGTATATGGAGATGACTAATAACAATTACTCTTTATGTTTGTGTTTGTTAGCTAAAAATCTAATGTTGTGAATGAGAGATAGAAAAAAAAGTTTATTATAAATTAAGTGAATGTTTATTTGAGCAGAGATATGATACAAAATATAAAGCATTAGATTTGAAGCTTCT